TCAAAATGGTATCATCTACATATATCCCATTTTTTCGACCTCCATTTTTAATTCCATATCTTACTTCTTTCAATCCTGTCACTTATCTTTACTGGTTAAGTTAAACAAATATGACGTCAGCATGCATCTTTGTCTCTCTATGGTACACATACCAACCTATAATATATGTACTATGATATTGTCCCAAATTGTTTATCCAAGTCTAGTTTGTATAATTTCTTTCCTTAAAAAGATTCCTGAGACGACTACTATAATCAGGTTTCTGGCACCTTTATTAGCTTTAATATAGTTTATATTCTAACATGATCTGTATAATCAGAAGTCTTGCTGTAGTAGGTAATACAAAGATAAACCTGCTTCTTAAATTTTCTTGCTCTCTAGTTTATCTATCTTATCTTAGCTATCAGAAGTTACATCCCTTTGCTTTTTTGAAATCTGTTCATTTCCATTTCCTTATAGGACTACATTTTTGTTAAGTAAAAAACATTGCTGGAATGAGGATCTAGTGCAGTGGCTTGATAATTTCCACATTCCCTTGCATATGTCTTCTTTTGTATACATAAGTATATACTACTGATCTTTCCCAATCTGGAAGCTCACAATCTTGTTCCATATTTTTGGCATTGACATATTAGCATTTGTAACTGTCTTTACCCATGTAGATTTAACAGTTAAATCAGCATTTCATCTATTCCTGCTTCTTTCCTGACTACTTTTCTATTGTCTCTTCTATTTGACCTCAAATAAGCTAGCTAAATCTGGTGAACAGTACCCCAGACCTCCAAGGTAACCAAGACCAAAACTGTTAAAGTCTGTATATCTGTCCTTTCCTTGCAAGTGTTAATGCCAAAACATGTCCAAAACAAAAATTCTATCTGCATAATACACTGAATAACAAACAAGCCAACTACCTTTCAGTTTAGCATGTTATGCAAACTAAGCCCATGTGATATGGTTCAGTGTGTCATATGAACACTGTTATTAAATGAACCATGTATAAATGCATCTTGTGATCACAGCACACTCATGAATAAGAGCAAGTCATTTATCTGCATACTTCTATCATGGTCCTCATCGTGGCCAACACACTATCACAGCCACAATATCATTGGTTCAAAATCCCTCTGATATGGGAAATCTGATGACACCTTGTTCCAAATCCCTAGACTTCTAACAGCACACACCTATTTAAAAGTTACGAGAGAGGGTACAGAAGATCTTCCCTACTCCAATTTGCTTTCTGGGACTGACTCATCATATAGGAAATATGTAGATATAGTGGTGCCATCTTGATCTACAAGAATACCAATGAGAACAAAGTAACAAATACCATTGTTCCCTGATGGGACCAACACTTTAAAATGTGTTGCTCCATATAATACATATACATACATACATACATACATACATACATATATACACACACACACACACACATATAATATTTTCTGGGAAAACTTTATTTTGCTTACAAGTTTCCAGTGTTGCTCCATATAATATGTATGTATGTATGTATGTATGTATGTATGTATGTATGTATGTATGTAGGTCTTTGGTTATTCGGGTTTTCTCCCGCGTAAAATTGGAAGTGTCTTGGCGAGGTTTCGACAAAGTCCCATTCGTCATTTTCAGGCTGGTGTTTTCAGCTTCGTGCTCGAAGCTGAAAACACCAGCCTGAAGATGACGAATGGGACTTTGTCGAAACGTCACCAAGACACTTCCAATTTTACGCAGGAGAAAACCCGAATAACCAAAGACCTACAAACAAACACCCGCAAAAACCTCAGAAAATACACACACAGACACACACAAATATATTTTCTGGAAAACTTTATTTTGCTTACAAGTTTCCAGTGTTGTTTTTAGTTGAATTGTAAGCCACCTTAGAATCTTTTAATGTTAGAAAAACAGAACATATATTTCTGAAATTTCAAAAGAATTGCAGAGAATATCTCAAGGAACAGTATGCCTTACTTGGTTTCTGAATGTTTTTTATTCCAGAATAGGAAAAATGGCAAAGAATAGTCCAGCCTTTGGGGATAAAATGGTTGTGCTAACAATAGATTGTAATAAGTTGTCTTCTTTCCCACGATTGTACATTTTTCTTGGATCTTTTATACATTCCTGATGTTCTAAGCAACATTTGTTTTCCATAGCTATTCTTTAATGTTGCATTAATTTTACTATCTGATTCAGCTTTATTTCTTCTTATTTGGATAAAATTCCACAAGGCAATCAGTGTGATGTCTGGTTGCAATAATAATATTAGTAGGAATGAAGCTCTATCAAATGTAATATTTTGACATAAGCTTACATGACTGCATTGTAAAACTTATCAATACATTTGTTTTTACTGAATTAATTCTCATATGTACATGCTGAATTTTGAAAAATAAAGTCTGTTTCTGTAGCTCAGAATCATTAGCTTTAGGGCTTCCTGGAACACAGGAAGATTGCATGGTGAAGTCTATTTATGTATCATTGAGCATTGAAATATTAAAAGAGTATCAAAATCATGAGATATTTAAATATGTTGCTTTAAAAATTATAAGACAATAATGCTTTGACACTCTCCCTATCACTTCCTCTCCCAACCAGAATAAAACTCATGATTTCATTAGGATTAGAGTTGGGCAAGAAGCAATATAATATTCACTTTTAGTAATCACAGTTTAAGAAATAAAATAATAAAATTTTACAAATTCATAATATAAAAACTTTTCACTAGAAATAAATTTAAAATCATTTTACATGGGAAGTAGCTTAATATTATATAATTCCTGAAATCTGTTTTCAGTAATTTTCAAACTCATTCATTTATTTTGAACTGCTCTTTATAGCAGCAAGTGTAAAAACTTCTGACTTTGCTACTGGATTTTTTTAGGCACAGCAGGAACAAATTGTGATCACATTTAAGTTAAGTACATGGATGTATGATTAGAAGCAAAGAAAAATCAGTACTAGCTACCCTGTATCTTAACCTACCTTTTTCAGTTTCATTCTCTGTGATTTAATGGTTATACTGAATTTAATTACTGGGTTGCCATATTATTTTCTCTGCTACTATCACCCCTCTACACACACACACACACACACACACACACCCTGCAAAATAAATAAAATAGCTCTGGATTACATTACAAGCTTGACTGCTTCATTTCCATCCCTGTTCACAGTTAAGAGGAAAACATTGATGAGCACTGATGTTACTAATCAGATAATCTTCAGGCAAACAACTAAGTTCAGAAAACACCAAGGCTTACACAGAATTTACTGTTTTCCAAATATGGAAAAATATATAAGACCATTAACTAATCCCAGGCTGAATTTTTACAACACAAGAATAAATGTACACGGCTGGATAAAGCCAGCCAAAGTGGTCTTTTTATAATTCAAGAAACTGAGAACCGAGGTAAGTAAATCATGGATCAATTAGCCATAGGAAACATATAATACAAAAAGAAAAAGCCACATTCCTACAGCTGCAATTTACAATATGGAAAAAGAACAAACTTGTTTAATTATGAGTAGGGTTTTCAAACTTAAATCGGACAATGCAGTGGGTGCATAAAGACTGCAAAACTGAAATATGACTTTTGCGCTGGCATAAAGATTCAATTGGGAGGAACCCAAGAATTTCTCTATTCTCTGCGTTGGTTTGTTGAAAAGAACGGCGAAATTCGGTATCTCGAAACTATTACAATAAAAGCCCGATTTTCCTCAAGCAATTCAAGTAGTTACAATCAGGGTTGCCAGCTGGATTTTCTAAAAAACTTAAAGATTTCACATTTCAAATAAATCCAACTCAAATAATCCCAGATTCTACACGCATTAAAAAAAAGATTAAATCCACAAAAAATAGTTTTAAAGTAAATTATTTTACCTACTTAATACATAGAATATAATGTATAGAAAAATTTAGAGTATATTACATTTTAAAATGAAAAATCTAGAAACTCCGACAGGTATACATATTTAAAAAATTCAGATCTGAGCTTAAAACCCAGTTACTGCCAACCGTAATTACCATTCATAGCAGCGAGAGTTCCAACAAAAAACCGCGACAGGAAATCCGGTCTGCATTCTGCGGCTGCTTCTCTTTATTTTATCTCTATGGAAAAACAGGGTTCCATAGACCCTAGAGTCCTCTCATCCGGGGTTCGTAAGTAAATAGAATTCTGCGCAAGCGCATTAGCGGTGGTTGGAGGCGTTCTGCCTGAGCTGTGGGTGGATGGTTTACGCTCGGGAAGGGAAGGGGAAGTAGATTTTTTTTTTCTGCCGGCTGCGCGAGACCTGAGGGCAGAGGCTCCGAGGAGACCGAGTGAGCGACGCCCACCTTTCTTCTCCTCCCCACCTCGCGTCACGCGCTGCCGGCTACAGAAATAGCAGTTGCGGGGCTGAGAAGCAGCATTCCAGCGTCGCCACCGTCTCTAGTGGACAGGCAGGTGAGTGGCCTGGATAGTTGTCCCTAGACTCGGTTTGTCGAGGAATCCTTCCTTGCTCTTTCTCTGGGATCGAGGGGTACCATGCCTCTGCTTGGGGTTTTGTTGGGGCACCTCACCAATTGGGGTGAGACACAAAGAGGCTTGTCCCAACTAGCTTCGCCCGTTCTTAGCAGAGCGATAGGCTTTAAAACTTGCTAGATCAGAGGAGCAAAACCGTTTTTTAAAGTCCCTGGCTCCGGATACCTTGAATCAGAAGCCAGTTGTGTTGACCCAGCTGGTGAGGGTCAGTCCATTGTATAAATCCAGAAAATTGGGTTAAAACGCATCAACTGTCGTCCCAAAGAGACTTTTTCACTTCAGCTCTGAAGATTCTTGGATGAGAAGCAAAACGTCTTCAAAGGGAAAACAAGAGTTCAGTTGCCTCCTGAAAAAGTATCTTTGGGACAACTGTGACCTGGATGACTGAGAATCACCATAGATATGTCAATATCCCTTTGGCTAGCACTGCTAGAGTTTCCATGCTTAATGTCCTAACATCTGTGCAGGTTTAAGGCCATGGTTATGAAAGCTGCTGTAGATGATGATGATTCAGGATGGGAGATGAATATAGCTGAGAAGATGGAAAAGGGTAACACAAGCTGGATAGATATTACCCAAGATTTTGAAGATTGCTGTAAAGGTAAGTCATGCTGAATGGGGGTTTAGATAATGCTTGTAAACCTAAACAGGAATTGTGAGAGAGTATTATGAGAAAATTTTGCAGTATATAACCCAAATATTTTTCTGAAGAGGATTGGGTGGGATTACTTGAAAGCATCAAATACCGGTAGTTTTGGTTGCCCTGAATTGTCAAAACTCATTTACTGAAGTAACTGCTGAGTTCACCCAGTTCACTAATAGCATCAGAGGACACAACCCTTTTCTATTTTGTATCTCCTCTTTCTCCACTTCTAGTATCACAATCAATGGTGGGATTCAGCCAGTTCGCACCACTTCGGCAGAACCAGTAGCTAATTTTTTGTTGCCCAGCCCCAGAATGGACTTCTGGAAGCTGCATCCATACAGAGAACCAGTTGTTCACATATTTGAATCACAACATTGGTATAATGAAAATGAAATATTGAACATTTCCCCACTTTTGAAAACTTCCAATTTTTTTTTTTTTATAGTGACTGAACATTTCTGGAGTGCTTCTTTTCATAGCCTTAACTCTGTTCCTGAAGCCCATCCCAACATTCTAAATAGGTGTTAGAGTGTTAGAGATTTGGAGCAGGAAGGAGGCAATTCCCAGTTCTCATTACATCTATCTAAAAGATTTTTGTTTAGTTTGGATTCTTTAAGTCAGGGTTGATTCCTGGTGACTGCCTGGAGAAGTCCTTGCAGTTTTTTTGACAATTTTTAGAAGTGGTTTGTCATTGTCGTCTTCCTAGGACTGAGACAGATTGAGTGGGCCAAGATCATCCAGCCAACTTCATGCCTAGGCAGAACTAGAACTCACAGTCTCCTGATTTCTACTCTAATGCCGTGACATAATATCAAACCGACTCTCCTAAGCAGTTGGGTTTCCTGATATCTACATGTTTGAATAATGCAAAAATAGACTTTTGATAGAGCTGTGCTGAGGTTTCGGTATAGGTATAGGTCTTACAACCATCATTAAGCCTGGTAATTCCAGTAATAAGTTGTGACAATTATAACCTGTTTTGAGGCAGTCATAAAGTGAAGGCCATGATCATAACGCAAACCCATTGTTCGCAATGGGCTGGTTTTTACTGGAAACTGGAAGTAAACTTAGTTTCCACAAACCCGTTGTAAATCGATATCTTGTGATTGCAGGGGACTGCAAATGACCATAAATGCAGGCCAATTGCTGATTGGCAGAAAATTTGGTCATCTGACCAAGGGTGGGGAAACAATTGTTGGAACTTGCAAAGCAGGTTATAAGTAGCTTTTGAGGGTTGGTTGTAACTTCACCTGGTTGTTAAGCAACTGGTCATAAGTCATGGACTACCTGTACAAATATATCCTTTCACAGTGTGAATTTATTTTTAATTATATGATGTATATGATATAAAACATTTGGAGTGTTTTTCTAATGAACTCATTTGTAATTCTTTTTTTAGAATTGAAGTTAGGAGAGTTGCTTCATGACAAACTGTGAGTTTATCATAAGAACAGAAGTTTATACTTGTTATTTATATATTCAGATGTGAAACAAACCCTTGGTAGATCCTTTCCTCATTTTAGAAGTATATTCTGACATTTTGGCTATAAACTGTATGTTAGTATATGAGTAGTATGGACAAACAATTAAAATTTCTAATACTGTAAAAATACACACCTTCAATCAGTTTACATACAGTAAAATGTTTGAAATTAGGCAATATTCTCTAATAATTTGTTTTTGATAATTAGAGAAAAATATTTGTTAAAATATCTGAAATATATATTTTTAGATAAAACCAATTATGCCCCATCATAAAAAAAAAATAGATTTAGGTTCAGTGATTTTAGATAGTGTATTATAGGAACTCAATACGGTTACATCATTTTATTTTTTGTTTTAATTGGTCATTTAAAAATTGGACTTTGTATTGAATTTCATTGTACTAGTTGGTATTACATTTTCATATTAATCCTTGCTATGGCAACACTGGCATTTGTCATTAGTGTTAATAGCTTGGGGTTGTTGGGGATATTTTTTGAAATGTGCTTCTTGGTTTAGGATATGTGTGCTAGAAGTTATGAACATACTGTGTTAAATCTACTTATGACTAACTTATCCCATTAATTTCAATGAATCTTTGCTAAATATTATTAAATTTGGACCCAAACCAATATAAATAAGGTGATAATGCTACTAAAAATGATTTTTAATGAAAGTAGATAACTTTGCTTAATTTAAGTTTAGAGAGAGATTATTTGCTCTAAGTACATTAGTAAACTTTTCTTTTTATATATTCCAACTCTCACTATTAAACAATTCAAAATGCTACAGACTATAACAGACTTTATAATATATATATATGGGATGCTGACCATTTAGATTAATATAAATATCTTTGGGTCTGGTTGTCTGGTTTCTTCCTGTAAACATCGTAAAAGTAGATTAAGATGAAAATTATGGAAAAGAAAATATTCAAGGGCTACATTTAATACCCAATTAATTTGGGTTTTTTACTGTAAATAACTAATATTCATTAGTAATTTTTCACATTCTCCATTTCTACTTGCTTAAGTATATTCTGGATGTAGTTTTTAAGAGGGATACTTAAGTTTGCATGATACGTTTAAACTGCACAAGCATTAATTTTTGTTTGAGTTACTAATACAAACTTAATTGTTTCTCTTTTCTAAACATCCTTAGTTTTGGTCTGTTTGAAGCCATGTCTGCTATTGAAATGATGGATCCTAAGATGGATGCTGGTATGATTGGAAATCAAGTTAATCGTAAAGTTCTTAACTTCGAACAAGCTATCAAGGTTGGTTTTAGTGTCAACTGTTTAATAAGTCATAAAATAAGTCATTGTTGTATGAATACAAATATTGTAATAAGTGAATTCCATCCTGGAGCCTGATTGAAAGGCATTGAGACAATCCATTTCATCCAGGATTCTCTTATATTATTTTCACTCACTATTTAAGAATGTAAAACATCTCAGATTCTCAGAATGATTTACAGAGTAATCAGGAGTTGGTCAATCTTAACCAAAGTTGTACAACACAGGAAATTTAAAAAGGAGTTAGCAAAATGAAAACATTGCAATGAACAAGGACACACATTTAATTCTACAGCAACTAAGATCATTGGCCATGCAGGTACAAAGATAGCCTTGTAAATGATTGAAGCCTGGGAAACAGGCCCCTTGTCAGTTAACAGGAGTTCTGATTTACCACCAGCCTATCAAATATGTAGGAGCCAAAGGCCTGGCAGCCCAAGAAAACAGCCAGTCGCCAGCCATCAACGTACCAATCAGCCAATAGGAAGGCTCTACATAAACACAACTCACAGAACAGCCCAAAGCCCATATTTCAGTAGAGAAATTCCCTGAAGATGGGCTCCAGCATGAGTCCAAAAACTCAGAAAAGTATATCTCTGGTCCTAGGGACTGATCCAAATTCAATTTTGCATCATCATCCTGGGACATGTATATTTGCCTTCAGTCGTAAAATGAAAACAGGATAACTTAAAATACCTATTGTAAATAACGTCAGTATTCATATACTGCAGGAATAGACAACCTTCTGCAGGAGACGATTGTAGTTATGTTTCTTGGGGGTAAGTTAAGACCACAATGGGCAGAATGATTCAAAGTGTGAATGACCATATCGCACATGGGGGATTTTCTGGGCTTAGGAAGAGGGTTTCTGTTTGGTTTTACCTATTAAACCTGTTTTAGGGCTTTGGGTTTTGTACATTTCCCACCTTAAAACAGTAGGAAACAGAACCATCAACTTTTCAGAGAGTTAGTTGGAGAGAAGTTCAGGGATCACAAAAAATATGTTAAGGAGCACACTGAGGCTTTAGATTACAATAGTTACTTTGATGAGAAGAGTTGTTACAGTAGCAGATTTGTCTTTTTCATTCTCCTTCATAGGTCAGTTAGTTTTGCCTGTCACCTTGTCTCAGCTGGTAATTGCAACAGTGAATGGAAATATTCCCTCACTATTTTATTTTCACTTACTACTAATGGAAACATGTTTTCCCCTTGTTCTTTTAAAGGATGGGACCATTAAAGTTAAAGACTTGTCCTTGCCTGAATTGATAGGAATAATGGACACTTGCTTTTGCTGCTTGGTAAGAATGTAATGTTTTTAATTTGCATGAGTAGAAATAACTTCTTTCTTTAAGCCTTTAAAATAGATTCTAGATTAATAAAAGTAGACTGAAGTTGTTTGTGCCCTTGGTTCTGACTAGAATGTTTTAATTCTGAATAAGTCCAATTTATTAAATCATTTTCAAGGCTGTAGCTCCAAAAACCTGATTTAGATAGTAGACAGTAAGATTACTTGTGATAAAACTGTCTTCATTGTGCATGAAAATTAAGTTGGTGCATTTTCTGAAACATTTTCTAAAAGCTGTTGTTGTGTTTGGACACAATTTTAATAAAGTGGAATTCCTATTTTGAACTTATAAAAACTTTTCCTCTCCATACATGTTAATAGTATAGGGCAGGTGCAACCAGTTTCTTTTATAATAGGGGGCCAGGAAGCATAGCCATATGTTGGTGCAGCCTGTGAATGGAATTGAAATATCAAGGCCCAATAGGCTACAATATTCTGGACAGGGATTTGGAAGGGATTTGTCTGGCTTTTTTTTTTCCCTTCTCAGATAATGGTCCATATATAAAAGGCCCTGGTTAGAGCAGGATTCTCATGGCTGTACTAGAACAATGCACAATAATATAATCAGCCACTTGGCCCTAATGAAAGTAAATGTAATCTGGGGGCTATTCTGGTGTAACTACAATAATGATATACCTTTTTATTATAAGGGATAGCAAGCTGTCCTTCAGATGGATTTTATTTCATCACTCTTTTGTTTTCCTTTGTAAAGCAAAGTTATAAATAGGCATAATTAATTTTTGTTATCCTTATGAACCTTTTAGGTTTGCCCCTTTTTCAACTTTATCTTTTTTTTCCCCAAGAAAATATGGTCATCATAAGTATAACCATTATCATAGTATTAGATAAAATATTTAAGGGGATACTCAATGTAAAATTCAATGCAGAGGAGAGTTTGTGTGTATGTGCATGTTATTGTATCCGGGACTGTGCAAACTATTCCAGGCTCAAGAGTGGCATTTTCAAGAGTTCTATGTGTATAGCAAAGCAAGATATCTTTCAATTTTTTCTTCCATGCTCAGGACAAAACAGTTTTTTTTTTGTTGTTCCAAATATTTTGATGCCCCACAAATGACTTCATGTTCCTTATTATCTACTCAATATTTTCAGATAACATGGCTAGAAGGCCATTCCTTGGCACAGACAGTATTCACCTGCCTCTACATTCATAACCCTGACTTTATCGAGGATCCTGCTATGAAGGCATTTGCACTGGGTATCCTGAAAATTTGCGACATTGCTAGAGAAAAAGTAAACAAGGCCGCAGTATTTGAAGAGGTGAGTTTCTTCTTTGCTTAATTGTTTTCCCACTTTCAATAAAATTGCATTCCTTCAAGGTGCAGTTGGCTATTCTTACAGTTTTTATCCATGATTTCTTGTTTATTATCCCTTAGTATCTTTGTCCTTTTAATTATAGTGTGCTCTTTCTCAGGAAATTAGTTTTGCTTTTACATTTTATTTGCTGTAGTTTATAAGCTTTTCCTCTTTAACTTTCAGTTAACGGTGCACTTTCTGGAACATCTCCTTCCATAGTTGTAGGGTAGCTTACATGTACAGATGCAAAACTCCCCATTCCTTTGCGCTTGATTCTTGTACTGAGTACTGTTATAACAGGTTTGCCTTTAATCAGTTGGAAGTATTTCATATAACTGAAAACACTAATAAAATCCGGGAGTGAGTTAGGCGGCCATATACATTTTCTTAATAAATAAAACAGCATATCTATTTTAAGTATGAACAAATCAACAAAGTAAGAAAGACTTATGGCTAAACCAATTAAATCTCTTTTTCAGTTCAAAACAAGATTTCTTGTAATTTTTGAATTGGGAAAATGCAGTATATTTAAACTATAATTTCATAAATTAAGCCTGAAATCACTAATAAAGCTTCTCTTTTCATCAATTTTTGCTGTATTATTTAGGAAGCTATATACATAAAATGTGTGCTATGGAGCAAATCATATAGAAATGGGAAGAGTATTAATTCCTAAAATTTTGAGTGCTAAAATGTTGTTCTCTTCCAAGTGTCTTGTGAGTATTTTCTGAAAATATCTAGTGGTACAAATGCAGGCTAACATGCATCTTGCAGAAATGCTGTGAAGCAAGTTGTTTGCATTGACTGCGAAACCCTCTTCATGCCACCACCCCCCCCGCCCCCTTTTGTGTTTAGGAAGATTTTCAGTCTATGACATATGGATTTAAAATGGCAAACAGTGTGACAGATCTCCGAGTTACAGGTAAAATTCAAATTCATTGTCTCTTTTCTGGGAGAATATAGCCATTTGTTAGTTTGAGTGAATAAAGTCTAAGTGTATGTGCTGCCATTTGTGTCAGGATTTGAGAATAGCTAGGTATGCATAGGTGAGTATTGTAAGATTTTACTTGTTGGCCTTCTATAACAAGGCACAAGTATTATATGTAAAACTAACTCAACAGTTTTGAGTGAGCCTCTCAATCTAAAATTTGTAAATTTAGTTTATAGGGAATTTGTAGATTTATAGGTCAGTAAGCATGGTTAGAGGTATATTGGTTTCTGGTCCAAATCTCTTGTAAGGATTAAGATTTAGGAAGTCATCTTTAAGCTAAGACCATTTGAATGCAGGCGTAAACTATTGTAGAAAGAATTAGCTTAGTCAGTGGATTTTATAGATGTTTATAGTACAAAAAAACAAAAGAAGAAAATAATTTGAATGGTCATATGATAAGACAAAATTGAAAATTTGGAATCTTTCGAGAACAGTTATTTCAGCCATTTCACCTTTATCATAACTATAAGGATTACTGTACCTAGAAAGATTTAATTATGTTTGCTAATATGGTAGGAAGCTAAAAAATTAAAGGCTAAAAAATTACAGTGTTCAGGATAGACCGCACTAGATGGCAGTGGTCTACCACAAATAAAGATCTCTCTCTGTCAGAAATCTCCATAAAGATATTGAATGATTTGCAATTCAAGGTGCTGGTTGTCACCTTTAAAGCCCTTCATGGCTTGGGACCAGGTTATCTTTTGCCAGTCACATCCACCCAACCCACTAGAGCAGGGAGGCAAGGAATGTTGTGGGTCCTGTCCCTTAAAGAGGTACATCTGGCAGGACCCAGAAAATGGTCTTCTCTGTGGTGGCCCCCTCTCCCTGGAACACCATCCCTGCAGAAATAGAATGCCCCCCACTTTGACAGTCTTTCGGAAGGCCCTGAAGACTTGTTTTTGCCAGCAGGACTGGGGAATGCAGAGTGCGAGGGAGCCCATCAAATGGCTTGTTTATGTGTGCTGTTGCTGGGGGTAGATGGGTGAGAGGTCATTTTTTATTATTTTTGTTTTATTTTTTAATTGTGTTTTTTTGTTGGTTGTAAGCCAGCTAGAATTGCTGTGAACAAGTAGGCGGCTATATAAATTTTCTTAAATAAATAAAGTTTCAAACTATTATTACAACTTGTAAGATTCTAAAGAAAAAATGTTTGTATGCATGCATTCTGAAGTAGGGATAAAAACTGAGCATACAAGTTTTTAATTAGTATAAAGAATTGACAAGGAGACCTAGGACTAAACTGAAAACCAAAGTCAGTAATTAGTGCAAATTTCTAGCCAGATGTATTAGGTTTTTTTTTTTTTCTGAAGCAGGTTATTTTATGTGTATTTTTGTCTATCTTCAGTACTGTTCTTAATAGAAGTGCAAAATATTGATTAAATTCCTCATCTTTGTTTGGAGGCTAAAAGTGATCTTGCTTCCTGTCCTTTCTGAAATGTTTTCTAGATTGCTTTGGCCCCAGAGACGTGCTAGAAAAAGTAGGGGTAGAGTTTAAAGCAGCTGGAAACTAAGCAGCTGATGTTTTACCAAAACACATGGTGTCTTTCATTTTTTTTAAAAAAAAGTAAAAAATCAGCTTTCCAAGAGTCTTGGAAAACACCAGGATCTCTTGGTTCTGTTCTCAGACTTTTGTACATAGGTGATTTTTTCCCCCAGTGACATATTGCTGAACTGATATTTTTCTCTGCTAAAGGTATGCTAAAGGATGTTGAAGATGATCTGCAACGGCGAGTTAAGGTATTTCTGTTAGCTATTTCAGAAGTTAGGTATATAAGGCTATTTCTAGTATAAAGAAATATGGGCAGATGAAGTTCAAAAATATAACACTAATATTTTGACTGTATAAAATACAGAATCAATAAAACCGTTGTAGTGCTGTACTTACTTAAAAATGTAAAATAAAGTCATTCCATGCTGTACGATACATTTGGTACAGAGATAGTACTAATGGCAAGAATTGGGATATTTGTAGTCATTTGGTTTGTTCCATTGTTAATTTCTGTGATCTTGTTCCAAAATGTAAGGCTCTCGTTTAAATGAAATTTATTTTTGAATGACTTTCTCAGATAGGAATGGACATAAGATGATTCTAATAATATATTTTTTTAAAAAAAATTAATAAACTTAATAAAAGCCTTTTAACTGGGCTCTGTTCACATATATATGTGAGTTCTACTCCCACCTTATGCATGAAACGAGCTAGGTGACCTTGGGCTAGTCACTCCCTCTTAGTCCCAGGAATGAGGCTGTGGCAAATCAGTTGCAAAAACTTGCCAAGAAAACTGTATGGACTAGTCCAGGCAGTCGACAGGTGTTTACACTGATTGAAAGACATAAGAACAAAACAAAAACAAAAAAACACCCTATAAATTTACTGGAATTGAGCAAGAGTTATAAGGTTGAATTATTAATAAGACATACCTAAAATTAATATAATTTACTTTTGTGCTGACTTGTATTTTTTCTATTCTTGGTTTTTTTTAGATATGATCAAGCTAAGAGAGATGGTGCAGCTATTTTTATTCACTGTTCTGTACGTAGGGTTAGTCTTAATCTTATAAAAAGGAGCTTTGACCACCATCAAGTGGTCAAAGTACAGTTCATTGTAGAGTCTTGATCTGCAAATACAGCATTCCAGTGAAAGTGTAAATCAAGCCAGAATGTTAGGATTATGAAAGGAGGTCTAGCTATCATGCTTTAGATGTGAATGGGATGGATACACATTTCATAAGTACTTTGATTCAGATTCCATAAGTGAATTGGAAGTTAAACCAAGTTTGTAATATAGAACATACTATCTATCTTTGCACAAAGATGACATGTATGTGACATTGGATTATGAAGTTATATAATGCTTCATTATATAATACTTCATTAAATTGTTGTAATTCCTTTTATTTTAGAGCACTCGAAGCCGACAAGGAGAAGAGAGAGATCCAGAAGTAGAACTTGAAGTAAGGATGTTCGTATACTATACAAGATCACATAAAAAGCATCCTAAGCTGAAAAGGGAATATAAGGACGGACACACACACACACACAATTAATTAGTTAGAATCATAAAATTCCTGGGTGGCGAGATTGTTTGGGTCTTGATTATGGCAGGATTTGAATTGGGCATTGCTTTTAGTGGTAATCATGCACTTTGATCATATTGAAGGTGCAATTTTAAAAACTGCATTCTTATACTATTATTATTTTTAACTAATCCAGGAGGGAATTTATTTTTAAAAAAATTGTTTTAGCATTCAGAGTAACAACATAATGTTGTATGTATAGATAGCAAACATAGTTTAAGTACAAACCTTCCCTTATATAACATTTTAAAATTATTAATTTTGAAATTGATTTTACATTAGCATCAGCAGTGCTTTGCAGTATTCAGCAGAGTGAAGTTTACTCGGATATTACTGACTGTATTAATAGCCTTTACCAAGAAAGAGGTATGATTAATTGAATATTTTTAAACACATTTTAGTTGCCTCAAATTGTTTCTTTATATGTTCATGCAGATTATTATGTAGAGCAGTGGTTCTCAACCTTTCTAATGCCATGACCCCATAATACAGTTCCCCATGTTGTGGTGACCCCCAAGTGGGTGTGGCCACCAATAAGAGGGAGTAGGACAGCTAGGGAAAAGGAAAAAAAATGGCGGACAGCGTGGTTTGGCGACCCCCATGAAATGGTTGTTTGACCCCAAATGGGGTCCCGACCCACAGGTTGAGAACCACTGATGTAGAGCTTCTACATTTAGAAACTATCGTATATACTCACAGATAAACAGAGAATATTAGGTGCCAAAATACACTCAAAAAATTCAAAATTTCAGGCACCAGAGCACACTCTTGCATGTTAATGTGAATGCTGTTGTCATGGCTGAAATCTCATGGGATCTTAAGTTGACATTGCTTGACATTTCAGTTTTTGCAGAATATTTCTAATTTTCTTTTAGCATTTCAACATTCTGAGGTGGGTAGAGTTCTTAAAGGAATGAGGGGCCGTGTTGCCATTTTAAAAGCTGTCATTCTACTTTACAATAATCAAGCCTGTAAGACTGATTTTGAATTTTTAGAACTGAGATGCATCTTTAGATTTAACATGCATAAGCAAGGATATGATACAATGTAGTATGGTACACTAATATGTTATATTATACTTTCGATTTTTGTACAGATTTTTAACACAAGAGTTGTTTTATTATACATAAACTTTTAAGATTTGTTTCTGAACAGACTAGTGCAGTTGCAGAAGCTCAGAAGTTGCTGACTCAGGCTGTTGATTTGCTGTCTGCGATTCACAATTTAATACATCATGGTATTCAGGCTCAGAATGATACAACCAAAGGAGGTAAGCAGTTACTTTTAGGAATGTTCTCTAGCTGTTGCTGCGAAAGAGGGTTACTGTTGCTAAAATTGCCAAATATGCAAGAGACCCAAATGAATCTTTTGTCATAGTCTTTTTATTTACCTTTATCAAGATGGGATCATCTCTTGTTTTGCCTGGTTCCTTGCAACTGTCGTAACAATTTTGGTACAATCTCAGAAAATATTTTTAAGCTGATTGTGACCATCCCATGATTCAAATTTTTTTTTAACTTTTCCATCTCAGTTAGGCATTCTTCTTGAGACAAAGACATACTGAAAACTGTTTATTAGTATAAGAAGGTACTTCAGATTTGGGTTTCTAGAAATAAAAATATTTAGTAGCCTGTTGGAAGAAGATTGTCATTTTTGTGTGTCAGTGGGATCAGCCATAGAATTCTTAAGTGGTTTAGCAAAATCGAGACTATGAGCCATTTTTTCATCCTTTCTCACTGGGATCTTCACTGAGAGTATCTTCAGTTTATTCTCTTTTCTCCTTTGCAGGATAAGTTCAGATTTCTAGTTTCCCGTCATTGTATGGTTTGCCACTTGGTTCCCAGCAGACAGTTGCTATCTTCTTTCAATTCAAGAACTTTTGTGTATTAACTTAATGAATTAAACATGAAGTATAGCTAAAATTCATTGATAGCCTTTGATAGACTATTAAAATATGGGAAAGAAATTTGACTTCCACATAGATACTTTTTTCTTGCTGTTTATTACCTACAAATGAGTAGATTAGGAGAATTTTGAGAAAAGAAAAAGTGACTGGCAATAACCATTTACCCCATTATCGTTGCATATATAGTTGAGATGCACATTTAACTACTTGAGGAATGACAGCATAATGTTTCCATAGCACCTTCAGAAGATGTTACATAATGTTATTTGTGAGTTTATAAATAGCATTCCTCTTCCAATTTTTTTGTCTATCAAGCAAATACCTTGCAAAATGGTAAAATTGGGAGAGTGACTATTCCAAAATTACCCATTGCACTTTCATGACTCAGGGCAGAGTCTGGCTATTCTCTGGCTTTCTCCTAATTAACAATTTATTACAGTTGGGGAAATATATTCAGACTTTACAATTCATTAATATTGCTGTGTGATTTTCAGAACTTGTCTTGAGACTGATCTTTATGCACAATACTTCATTTTTCTGCCTTAGTTACCTATGTTGTACTGTACTTGAATGCTTTGCTATTCAATAAATTTTAATGTTAATCTTAAATTGCTTAGCTGAGAAAATTAATACTTTGAAAGTGTTCCTTACTTGATAAACTGTTCATTGATTAGCTAACTATTATACAACAGAGAACTTAAATGGAGAATCATAGCTGAATTGTTTATTACTTTTTTAGATCATCCTATAATGATGGGTTTTGAGCCACTAGTTAATCAGAGATTGCTCCCTCCAACTTTTCCTCGATATGCAAAAATTATTAAAAGAGAAGAAATGGTTAACTATTTTTCAAAACTTATAGAACGAATCAAAACTGTATGTGAAGTCATCAATTTAACCAATTTGCATTGCATACTAGTAAGTATGAATACTTTTAACATATAATTAATTGGGAAACAAAGGCATCCTCTTTGAATAATTCCAAGGGCTCTTTCATGAATACTTTTTAGACTTAAAACAAAATCTCATTTCATGCTTCCTATGTGAATTAAAAAACAGAAAACAATGAATGAATTTTTTTAAAAGAATATTAAAATAGAATGCTATGATTATATTTTATAATTACTCTCAAAGAGGGTCTCACATGTCCTGTTGAGGATGGGGTGGGGAGCTCTGTTCTGCTGATGTGGAAGATGTTCTATATCCAAAGATATTCTATATCTGAAGAGGAGAGTTTGACCTTTATACAAAATACTAACCATGGTTTTCTTACTCTGTTTATAAATTAGGATTTTTTCTGTGAGTTTAGTGAACAATCACCCTGTGTTCTTTCAAGATCACTGTTACAGGCAAGTTGGAAATTGCACAATAAAAAATTGAAGATTATGTTCATAGCCATGTAAAGTAATAAAGATACATTTTGTTTCAGACCACTTTTCTTGTGGACAATAAAAAAGTGTTTGGTACTCATCTTATGCAAGACATGGTAAAAGATGCCCTAAGATCTTTTGTCAGTCCACCAGTACTTTCATCAAAGTGAGTAGCAAAATCTTTTTGGTTATGAATTTACATATTTATAGTTTCTCTCAAAGTATCTTAGATACATTAAGAAGTATATCATAAAGTATATCTTTATACTAAAGATACCTTGGTATTTTTAAGGAGCAGATGTTGGTAAAATCACTTCTACTTAAAAGTAAACTTCTCTGTGAATCAAAAAAAGTACCAAAGTATTGTTAAGAGAGAAAAAGTATCTGTGAGTTCTGTGGCATTAACAATTGTTAGAAATATAATCAAGTGTTTCAGCTAAGGATAGAAGGAAGCACTTGATTTCTTCATGAGCTATATTTTCAAAACAAATAAAGCCTGCAAGGACCAGGGGGTGTGATGTGATAATGTCAAAGAGATGCCCAAAGTTTTGGGGGGGTTTGTATATATTTGGAGTGGGGTATGAATGTGTGGGAAATCACCTAAGGTTTGTACTCTTATGCCATATTATGGCAGTGAAGTATGGATATGCTCTGGAGGAGGGCATAAAAAATTATTGGGGGACAGGGTGCTCATCTCAACTTTAGGACAATGTATATTTTTAATTTTTACTCAAAATAATTTCACTTATTTTCTGTTAGGTGTTGTCTTTATAATAATCACCAGGCTAAGGACTATATTGACTCCTTTGTCACACACTGTGTCCGAGTGAGTATTGATAGCATTATGAAATATAAATGCATTTATTTTAATACTTAAATACAGTAAGGATAAAAGGTAAATTTTTTCAATGTGTGACCTGTTCAAAGTTGGACTGTTACATGCATTTAGCAGAAAGTCAACCAGCTATTTGAATTGAGCAAATATATTAATTTGGAGAAAGTATTTTTGAAATAGCACCATGTAAAATAGCAAAGCAAGTAATATAGAGGGTCCTGTTAGGATTAATATTCTATCTTGAAACTTGTTTGGTATGAAATTTCATAAAACTTCCCATTCCAAGCGCACAGCAGCCCAGTTCTACACCTAAAATGGCATTTCAATAAATTTTGTGCTTGAAACATTTCAAAATGAAACAATTTCTAGATGCCCAATCCTGTGATTCTCCCCTTATCTTTCTAAATTTCTCAGTTGTAATGCTATAAGATACTTTCACAGACCAGTAGGAAATCATGAGAAATTATTGAAGGAATATTCTGCACTCCAAATAAGGAGTGTATTGTTTGTATAGGACAGTGATAGTGAACCTTTTAGAGACCGAGTGCCCAAACTGTAACCCAAAACTCACTTATGCATCATCAGGTGCCAGGTGGGTGTGGCCCATTGGGTGCATGTGGGCCATTGAGTGGGCGTGGTTGCAGTGGTAACAGCAGGCTGGGTGAGACTAAAAAGTTCAATCAATCAATTCCAATTTTGCAAGATCTTTTTTTTTCCTGCAAGAAGTTGAAATTGACTAATTGAATTTTTTTTTTTGTACACGGCGGCGGAGGCCTAAAGCGAAAAGGTTTTCTAAAACCCAGCTGAAGGACTAGGGTGACGTTGCGCCTGCCCACAGAGAGGGCTCTGAGTGCTGCCTCTGGCACCCGTGCCATAGGTTCACCACCACTGGTATAGAAAATCATTGGCGTAAGATGCAGTTGATATTTTGGTATCACTAATAAACTATAGGACAGAAATCACTGAAAAATCTTTAATTTTGGTATATTATTGAGAAGAAAATATTTACATAGAGGTGTATATAATAATTGAAAAACACATTTATACGTAGGATGAACATGTTATTTAGCAACTCCTTTATTAAATAAAACAGGATAATCTCTCTCTTACCTTGGAGAGAGATTGGCGGTTCAGAAATGTGAAATATAAATAAATAAATTGTGGGAGCTGATTTTGTTTCATGTGAAAAAAAATCATTTTTATTTAAAGGGCTGTTTGAATTAAGTCGATCCTGCCTGCCCATCCCTGTAATCTTCAATATTTGGCAGTAATCTGCCCATTACTATCTATTCTAAAGCATATGTAATCCTTCCTTTATTTGCCCTATGCAGTTAAGAATATGCCACACTAAATATTATTTTAGTTTGAAAGAATAGGAACTTCGTTTGCTGCTACTTTTCTGAAACTAATGGCTTTATATGACAGTGTTCCTAGCATCTGAATTAGCTAACAGTGCATATTACAATCAGCATGTAGACTCATCTAAACAGATGTGTCAGAAGTGAGTTAAGAAGCGATTGATTTCCTATTCATAAAACATATCAAGGTATGTTGTTGCCACCACAGTATTGTTTTTAAGATTTGCAGCAGTCTCAAATATAACGGATTCTTTTTTTTCCCCAGCCATTTTGCAGTTTGATTCAAATTCATGGGCATAACAGAGCTCGACAGAGAGATAAACTTGGCCATATTCTTGAAGAATTTGCTACTTTGCAAGATGAGGTAATATAAGCAGGTATCAAACACTTTATCAAGTCTGTCATTTGCATTTTCTCTCTAGTTGATTTGGCTGTAGAAGAATTATTTAAAAGTACATTTAGTGTCTGTTGAAGTGAGAACTTTAGGAAGAGTTTGTAATGTTCTCTATCCTTCCTAGATCTACATGCAATACATATTTTTTATTTTGTTTCTATTGCCCTTTAAAAAAAGGGTTAATATCTAGGAATATAGGATTTAAGGAAAACCTTAAATTTGGGGAAACTCACTTTTTCTTTGTAACTAATGATGCTATATTTATTAATAAGATTAGACAACATATTATCAATCTATTTTAAGGTATATAATACCATACACTAAAGCATTAAATATTAGAATATCCAATAGGTTTCAAAAATGAAAAGAATTCATTATATGACACAAAAGTCTATAGTATGATATTGTATGGAAGACAAAGCGCTCAATTTATTAGCATCATTCATGCAGTATAGTACACGAAATAAAACTATTTTGATCATTATTATACGTTATTGCACACATTTGTGTTATTTGTTTTGATGTGAAAATATAGTAGTTTTGGATCTAAAATATAAATGCAGATACAAGTACTGGGATTTTTTTTTAGTATTTTAAAGATTTGTTTAATCCCACCTTTATTACTTTTGTAAATAACTCAAGGTGGAGACATACATAAAGTTCCTTCTTCCTCCTGTGTTCCCCACCACAACCACCCTATGAGGTGGGATGGGCTGAGAAAGAGCGATGGGTTCAAAGTCACCCAACCAGCTTTCATGGCTAAGGTGGGACCAGAATTCACAGCCTGGGGCCTTAACCACTAGATCAAACTGGCTCTCTTTTTGTTAGAATTGTTAGAACATTGTTTTCATTTGTCAGAATTTTGTTAGTATAATCTCAGCACTCGTAGTTGCATTAAGCTGAATATATTTTTTTTTAATTAGGCAGAGAAAGTGGATGCAGCTCTTCACAGTATGCTCTTGAAACAAGAACCTCAAAGGCAGCATTTGGCATGCTTGGGAACCTGGGTCCTATACCATAATCTTCGCATTATGATACAGTATCTTCTCAGTGGGTTTGAACTGGAGCTATACAGCATGCATGAATATTACTACATATATTGGTAAGAGAAGTTAATTACTTGCAAATTATGTGGATGTGCTATCCAGACACAACTCAAAATATAGTGAAGCATATATGTATCTAACAGGTTGCTTAGGTAGAATTGCATCAGTGTTCTCCCATTGATCATGATTTGTCACAGATTCCATAAATATTTATTACTCATATTTAAAGATATATTCAGTATTTTTGATACTTCACTAAATTTATTTATTTTTCTAAGCGTCATGCAAAATTAACGAGTTGCATGGCTTGGCTATTTTTGCTTATTGAGATACTTGCATAAGATATTTACTTAAAAATGCTACTGATCTCCTTGTTTTATAATGCCAGCATTTGCCTAAAGTTTTGTTTTAAGAGCAGTTAGTCTTAAAGCTTCGGTAACTGGAACTGGAATATAGTCTTCATTGAGTGTGGATGTAAGAGAATCATCAGACAAACAGTCATGTGAAATAGTAAGTATACATGCCATATATATTTTTTCTTTTTTAACATATGCAGACATACCAATGTTTTATCTTCATTCAAGCAGTATAAAAAGATAAATATAATGTAATTGAACAGAAAAATCCAATGGAAAATTGACTTTGAAAATATTTATTCAATAAAGATTTAACAGTTATGGCATTTTCTTCTGTGGAAAAAGTAAGCAAAACCTGAGATTGGCCCTTTTGACCGAAACAATCTTTAAGTAGAACCCTCCATTTCCTCTTTTTCAGCCATTGTTTGGTAGATTTACTAGAACGTTTAGGATCACCTTCACTTTCTTTAAAGCTTCCATCTTCTGGCTCCTCAAACTCCTTGACTACAAAAAAGAATTCATAGTAGATTCTGTGATGGAGAACTACCCAGGCCCTGATGCAGCATAGCCCCAAGCCATAACATTTCCATCACTATGTTTTATAGTTGGTGTTAGGATCTTCTGGTAAAATGCTGTATTTTCACCAAACGTGTCTCTTGATACTATAGTCAGTATCTGTATCATTATCTTTGCTTCTCCTGTCCAGAGCACATTGTTTCAGAAATCCTGGTTTTTGCTTAAGGGTTAAAGAGCAAACTCTAGTCTTGCCCCAGTGTTCTTTCTGGACAACAGAAGTTTCCTCTTGATATACCTCCCATGTAAATCTAATTTGAGCAGCTTCTTTTTAATGATAGGCACATGCAGTTTGACATCAATAGTGGCAAGATTCGAGGTCACATGATGAAATTCTGGGATTCTTGGTGGCTTTGTTCAGCATCTTGTTTTGCTCTTGGGTTGAGCTTGCTGGGATAGCCAGACCTGGGTAAGTGGGCAGTTATTTGAAATCTTCTCAACTTGTAGAATGCTTGATGTCTGGTTGTTTGGCAATCTTTAAAAACCCTTCCCAGAATCACAGGCATCAAAATACCTTTTTTTCTGAAAGCTTCAGAGAGCTCTTTTGACCTAGACATGGTGATAACCACCACAGTAAATCAAATTAAATGGCTGATATTTCATTAAGGTTTTGCCTAGATCAGAGGTCCCCAACCTTTTGGGCACTAGGGACCGATTATGTGGAAAGAGGTTTTTCCTGCAGATGGGGCTTTGCTTTTTTGTGTGGCCCGGTTGCTGGCATGCCACAGCCCGGTACTGGTCCAAGGACCGGGGGTTGATGACCTCTGGCCTAGATCATATGTAACATAGATCTGGTCCATATGATTCCAATTTTAGTTATGTGAGGTAGTGACAAATATAGAGGTATACTTATTTTTTTCCACATGTGAAATTTGCATTTATGTTCATTTAAATTACACAATGGACTACAAAATATAAATAGTCTGTTTGTTATATTACATCCCCTTTATCAATATTGTTGAAATGAAGATCAAAAAGCTGTATGTCAAAATATGTTGAAAAAGTCAAACATTTCAGTTACTTTTTCACATGACTGTAGCTGAAAGGCTCCAAGTTCTTTCCTCATAATTTGTTCATTGCTTCATGGAATGGGAGCTCTCATACTGATCCGTGCTTGATAGTGCACCTATGGCTGACTCTCCATTAATACTTTTTCTTAGATTGTTAATATATTGACATTGTTCCTAGTTATTTTTTAATATTTTGAAAATTAAATTTGGACAATTTCAATTAATAATCTATTCACAGTTAATGTAAACACAGGCTTGTGACTTTTGTGGTAGGTTTTCTTGAGGGTCTTCATGGCAAGAAAGTATTCTCCCCGTTAACATCTACTGCTATGAGGGTGACAGGGCATGTCGGGAAAAACTGGCTAGTCTCATAATAAACTAAAGTTGTCATCTCCAGAATCTTACTGTGTGTCTATATTAATTGGAGTAAAATAGCGCTTGTTGTCTTGGGCATCAATTTCCTTTCTTCCATTCTGTTTGAGGAAAAAAGGGAGTTTTAGTGGGGGAAAAAACAAATTCTTTTAATAAGAGCTGGTGTATAATATGATTCAATAAAGGATCTATACATTTAAATTATAAAGTTGTCCAGAAATATTGTGTATGATTTTTATTTTAGTTATCAACTTATTTGAAAATAAACCATTTTTTCCAATGGTTACATTTCTCCTACTTAAAAGTAAAGTCTTACATAAATTAAAGCTGGTTATAACATTAAAAATAATAAACTGATTTAAGATCCTTTAAAGCCCTTCATGGTCTGAGACTGAGTTATGTGAGGGATTGCTTCTCCCCAGTTATATCAGCTTAGACCATTAGATCTGACAGAAAGGGCATGTTGTGGATACCATCTGCCAGGGATTTATGTTTGGCAGGTCTCAGATGGCAGGTCTTGTCTGCTGTGGCCCCCACCTTATGAACATTCACCCCCAACATTAGATTAGCTCTATCCCTTTTGATATTCTAGATTAGAAGTTCCATCTTGAGACCTGGTTACACCATCAGACTTAGGGGTCCCAGGGAACTGCAGACTTGTTTAAATGGTTCCACTATTGAGGTAGATGTTATCTCTCTTTCTGTTTGTATATATTTTTATAATAATGATGATGATGATGGTGGAAGGGACTTTGGAGGAAATCCTGTACCATTTCAGACAAATGGCTGTCCAATCTCTTCTTAAAAACTTCCAGTGTTGGAGCATTCACCACTTCTGGAGGCAGGTTGTTCCACTGGTTAATTGTTCTGTCAGGAAATTTCTCCTTAGTTCTAGGTTGCTTCTCTCTTTGGTTAGTTTCCATCCGTTGCTTCTTGCCCTGCCTTCAGGCACTTTGGAGAATAGCTTGACTCCCTCTTCTTTGTGGCAGCCCCTGAGATGTTGGAACATTGCTATCATGTCCCCCCTCATCCTGCTCTTCATTAAACTAGACCACAGGTCGGCAACCTGCGGCTCCGGAGCCGCATGCGGCTCTTTGGGCCTTCACCTGTGGCTCCCAGCCTCCTCTGCCTTTGCAGAGACAGAGAGGCAATTGCGCTTCCGTGCCCCCCCCCTCTCTCTTTGTGTTTTTGTGTGTGTCTGGGGGTGTGTGTGTGTGTGTGTGTGTGTGTGTGTAAAAGAGAGTGCACTCACAGTGTTCTCCGAAGAGCTGAAAAGCTTGTTGGGCTGAGCTCCTCCCTTTGCTGCGTCTCTGCAGGAAGCAGGAAGGGCAGGAGAGAGCTAGCTAGCCCAGCTAGGCTGACTCAGGAATTCTGGGAGTTGAAGTCCATGAGTCATAAAAGAGACGAGGTTGCTTACCTCTGAGCTTGTTGGACAACAGCTTGAAGCTTGCCAGGTAAGCAGCAGATGGGGGGGGGGAGAAAGAGAAAGAGAGAGAGAGAGGGAGGGGGAGAGAGAGAGAGAGTGGGGGAAGAGGAGTGGCAGACCAAGGGCAGATAGAGAGGGAGGGAGGGAGACAGAGAGAGACAGACCCTTTTGACATCTAAAATGAAGATAACACTGCATATGTCCTTTTTTTTACCTCTGTGTGTATCTAATTTTATTCTCTTAAAGCATTCTCTTGGTGATCATTGTTTTAATAATATGGATATTCCCAAGAGTCATATATTTACTTTTATTTTTAATGTGTGTGTGTGTATGTATGTATATATGTGTGTGTGTGTTTGTGTGTATTACACACACACACACACAAACACACACACCCCTATAATAAAGGTAAAAAAGGATATATGCAGTGTTATCTTCATTTTAGATATCAAAAGGGTTTTGCGGCTCCTGGTGTTTTGTTTTTGGTGGGAAACGGGTCCAAGTGGCTCTTTTGAGTGTTTTGGTTTGCCTACCCCTGAACTAGACATACCCAATTCCAGCAACCGTTCCTTATATAGTTTAGCCTCCAGTCCCCTAATCATCTTTGTTGCTCTTATCTGTACTCTTTCTAGAGTCTCAACATCTTTTTTACATCGCGGTGACTAAACTGGATGCAGTATTCCAAGTGGGAATACTTACCAAAGCATTGTAAAGTGGTATTTTGTAAAGTGGTGATCTTGATTCTATCCCTCTTTTAATGCAGCCTAGCACTATGTTGGCTTTTTTGACAGCTACAGCACACTGCTGGTTCTTATTTAAATGATTGTCCACTAGGAATCCAAGATCCCTCTCACAACTACTACTATTGAGCAAGATACCATATACTATACCTGTGCATTTGGTTTTGTCTTGCCTAAATGTAGGCCATGGTTTTCCCAGTTGCAATGTATGGCTGTGAAAGTTGGACCATAAGAAAGGCTGAGCGCCAAATAATTGAGGCCTTTGAACTATGGTGCTGGAGAAGACTCCTATGAGTCCCTTGGACTGCAAGGCGTTCAAACCGGCCAGTCCTAGAAGAGATCAACCCTGACTGCTCTTTAGAAGGCCAGATCCTGAAGTTGAAACTCAAATACTTTGGCCACCTAATGAGAAGGAAGGACTCACTGGAGAAGGACCTAATTCTGGGAAAGATTGAGGGCAATAGAAGAAAGGGACGACAGAGAATGAGATGGCTGGATGGAGTCACTGAAGCAGTAGGTGTGAACTTAAATGGACTCCAGAAGATGGTAGAGGACAGGAAGACCTGGAGGAACGTTGTCCATGGGGTTGCGATGGGTTGGACATGACTTTGCAATTAACAACAACAACAACAAATATAGAACCTTACTTTTTTCACCATTGAATTTCATTTTGTTAGATAGTGCCCAATGTTTAAGTCTGTCATTATCTCCATTTCTAATCTGATTTTTCTATTTTTAAATTTCTATTTTACCGTGTCTTTTTATTGACAATTTTACATCACCAAAAGTCACTTTTCTTGAGAAATGCATTTATATAAATATGATTAATAAATGAAAAAATAAATAAATAATCAAAAATTAGCAAATGTCCTAAATTAAGCATTCTTTCTACATTAGGTACCTTTCTGAATTTTTGTATGCATGGCTAATGTCAACACTCAGTCGTGCTGATAGTTCTCAGATGGCCGAAGAAAGAATAATGGAAGAACAACAAAAAGGCCGGAGTAATAAAAAAACTAAGAAAAAGAAAAAAGGTATATTTTTGAGACAGATCTTGCAAATGCTTCATTCTTTTGCTTGAGGCATCTTTTTGATATGTGAGCTTATGGTTGCCTTTTTAATGTTCAGCTCCATGGAGCCATTGAAATCTATATTATATATGTTGTTCCAAGTGAGCAGTTTCATTAACTCCAACCTCATTCTTCAATAAAAATCTTTATTTGACCGTTTGGAGTTGGGGCACTAAAAAAAACAAGAGTTAAAAAAAAACATGTATATGACCTAAGTTTATTTTGCAGTATTAGATTTGTTATTGCGCTAACCACAATCTGTCAGCAGTTAAAAATAGTCTTACAGCAACCAATACATTAAAGTATGATATAATACCCATAGCATAGACATTGTAAAATAAATTATTAAACAACAATAATGGAATATGATCTTAATTCCTTATTGTGTTCTTGAATAAGTTTAGAAGTTTGAACTTCTTTTTCCACTAATTGCATTTTTCCCTTGAATAACTGTTTGTATTTTTCCCAGATAAGCTTATTTCATTAGAATTTTAGATGTATCAGAAATTTCATAACTCATTTGTCATGCAATGTAGCTTGCTTTTATCGTTAGAAGAAAAAAGCAGGTCTTCCCCCCATTGCATAGTTTTATTTGCTTACAACTCAAATGACTTATAAACTTGAGTAAAATAAACAAAAAAAAATTCCATTATTACTATTTGTTGCCACTCTATGTACATTACAAAGTGGCCTTTTTGAGAGCATATTTAGCATATATGTCTCATGGTATAGATTCTATAGTAGGAATATTGCAAGTTCTGTTGATTAATAAGTATACTTATGAGATCTGCCTCATTTTTTAGATTATAGGTTTTTAAAAAATATTTCAGGTTAGCATAATTTTATGATAATGTTTTCTATGCATAAAATTTACAGCTCGTCCTCTGAGCAGAGAGATTACCATGAGCCAAGCCTATCAAAATATGTGTGCTGGAATGTACAAGGTGATGTATTATTACCCATTATGTAATTCAATAAGGTTTTTTTACATTGTATACCCAAACTGGTTGGGGAATTCTGAGAGTTGAAGTCCACTAGTTTTAATGTTGCCAGTGTTGGACATCCGTGATCTATAGCATAAACACTTTGAATTAGACCTGACAATTTTTGAAAACCAATCCAACAAGCAATGTATTAGTGTTAAATTGCTAACTTCCTTGTAATCATTAGCAACTGGGCTACCACATTTTGGACCATTCACAGTTTATGAGTACATTTCAATAGTATAGTCATGTGATAATAGTATGAATTGTTGTTAAAAGAGCTAGTTGCATTTAATTCCAGTGATACAGTTATGGATTATATTTCATGAGATAATTGCTAAGGTGGACTGTCAAGAATCATATGCAGTTATAATCAGCAATACAACCCATTTTTCCAATTATTTCTAACAAGTATGTATATTAACACTTCTATTGCTGCTGTTGTAACAAACTGTTTTTATCTTGTATTTTCCTGAAGACTATGATTGCTTTTGACATGGATGGTAAAGTGAGGAAACCAAAATTTGAACTTGATAGTGAACAAGTTCGATATGAACATCGGTTTGCCCCATTCAACAGTGTCATCACACCACCACCTGTGCATTATTTGCAATTCAAGGTGAATCACATTAATCCATGTTATTTGCACACTTTAATTTTTTTAAAAAAAACAATACAATTTGTCACAAATCTTGTTAATATTTTCATCTTCGCAAGCAATTGTTCTTGGTGATATATATTTCTTTGCCTTGGAATGAAGGCAAGAAACAGTAGTTGACATCAAGTCACATCCCAAACCTGTCTTTAAAATATGAAATAGCATTTCACATGCTGTGTTACTGGTGTTGAAAAATGTGATAATTTGTTAGTTTTTATAGTACCAGAAGTGAAGAAATCATTATCTACTTGGTTATAAAGTTATACCTGAACTAATAATTAAAATAGTTTTCCTTCTGTGTGCTCTTTTCACCAAACCACAACTTAGTTTTAAATAAATTGCATAAGGATATTTTATTGCTTTTATTTTAAAGGATATTTATTATGTTTAGGAAATGTCTGATCTAAACAAATACACTCCTCCACCTCAGTCTTCTGATCTCTACATGGCTGCTAGCAAACACTTCCAGCAAGCTAAAATGATACTGGAGAATATATCTAACCCAGATCATGAGGTAAAAATCTGACTATAGAACAGAGAAAATAAATTCAAACTTGCTTATGGTATTCAAACACTACTGAAGGAGGGTAAATGCAGATTGTCTACATAACTCTGCAAGCATAAATTCTCAAGTGTCAAATGATCTATTATTGTTAAATATCAAGTTTTTTGGGAGACTTAATTGCTTCATATTTTATAATAGAACCTTATTTTTTTATATATTAATTTTGGGTAACAAATGAGGTGCTTACTGATTGAAGTGACCTTTTTTAACTATGAAAAATGGTTGTTTTTATCTAAGTCACAAATAAAGGTTTTAGAAGAATTAAGTTTATAAATACTATTTAATAGTAACTAGCAGTTTATAGAATGATGTTGCTGATGTTACAATTCAGCACTGGGTCTCTTTAGAAACTTTATAGTGGCAATTTCTGCACATTCTTAAAGATTTTTTTAAATTTTATAAACTAATAAGAAAAATCAGTTGAACAGTATTAACAATGTGATATAATTTGAAATCAATCATGATAAATAAAAAGAGATATATGGCCAGGGAAATAATTATAAATAGAACTGCTTCCCAGAATTGAAATTCTAGTTCTTACATTATTTATTGCTTTACCTACGAGTTCTTTCCTGTTAATTAATCAGAAATATGCTCTGCGTCCTCTTTTATAACTTTGTAAAGAACCAGAGAATTTCATCATCTCTAAATATGGAAAGAAGTCTATTCTTTAAAAGATGTTGATAACCTAGCTGCATTTTGCATGCTTACCCAGAATGTTTCAATGTACCTTGGAATATTGTCAATATTTGGAAAGCACATCATTGTGCTTATTACTTATAAGTTAGAACAATATCTTTGTAAAGTGCATTTGTTAGTATACAACTAGGTTAATAAATAAGCCATTATGGAAAAATAAATATAAAAACTGCAAGCAATATTATTAAGTCTTCACTGCAACAGCCTTTTAACTATGAGCTTTTTAACTTTTAAATATGAAACTTGACTATCTCTGTCTAGGTCAATCGAATTCTCAAAGTTTCCAAGCCCAATATTGTGGTTATGAAATTACTGGCAGGAGGTCACAAAAAGGATTCTAAAGTAAGCAAATTGCAGTTAAATTAAAGCAGTTGCCATGGGAACAAACTGAAGTCTGCCAAATGGGGGCAGTCATATTGAACTGTATCCAGCAGAAATCTGAAATATCTGTAATGGAGGTTTGGGGCCTGCCTATGAACAAATTTGAGATGTATAGTGTGGACAAAACAGGTATGCCCTCTTGCATGAGTTGTACTGTGTAATACTAAAGTATACATCGCAACAGTATCAGAGCTACAGTTCATGTTTGAGGTACTCGGTTACATGTGATGATCTAACATATTTCTACAGTTACAAACAATAACTGAAAAGTATATATTTACTCAGAAGGAGCTTCAATGAATTTAGTTCTTTAAATTTCATAATTTGTCCATCTTTCCCTCTCTCTCACCCCTTTGGAATTTTTCTGGTATACTTGATATTTTAAAAATCCACTTGAAATGACAAAATTCTTGAAAAGCTATTTTAAATTGATACTAATATATATATATATATATATTTATTTTTCCAGGTTCCTCCGGAATTTGATTTTTCTCCTCATAGATACTTCCCAATAGTGAAACTTGTTTAGGAGAACAGGTAAATTATAATTTGCTCGGAGAATCTCCTTTGTGCTGTGCTGAAAAAGGACAGAAAACTCTTGGTCAAAAGTACTCATATCAGGAGCAATTTCATTCAATCCTCCTAAACAGCTGGAATAACTGCTGTTTTAAAATGGTTTGTGTGAAGTTCTTCTGCTGGAGCTAATTTGATAACTACATTGTTGAAACTGTTATGTTTTTATTTTATTGTAGATTTATCTATAAATCATTTTTATGAATGGTGTTGGAACATTTCATAACGTGCTTGACCACTCTGAAAATACAATGCAATAAAAGAAACGGTTTTGTTTTGATATACATTAGAATTCATTTGTAAAGAAATTTTGTATAACATGTGACAACAGTCTCTCATATTCTTCAGAGGTCTAGGCTGTGTGGTAGAATGGGAAGATGGAAGCCTTTTCCTACAAAAAACATACAGACACACATAGCAAGCCTGATTACATTTTGCAAAAAGCTACATCAGATCTCACCAAAGCATGTGAGAAATGTGTTATGGTCTGATGAGACCAAAGTTGAATTTTTTGGTTTTAATTCCAAAATGTATGTTTGGCACAAAAACACTATGCATCATCAAAAGTACACCATGTTCAAAGTGAAGCGTGGTGGCAGCATTATGTTTGGGAGCTGCTTGAACTAGGGCCGTAATCAAGATGGAGGTGATTATGAACAGTTCCAAATATGAGTCATTTTTGGCACAAAACCTTTAGGCTACTAAAATGCTGAAAATGAAGAGGAATTTCATCTTTCAATAGGACACAAAGCATATCTCCAAATCAACCAAATAATGGCTTGATCAGAAGAAGATCAAAATTTTGAAATGTCCCAGCCAAAGCCTGAATCTGAATCCAATTGATAATCTGCAGGGTGACATGAAGAGGGCTGTACACAGGATATGCCCTGACAATCTGACCGATTTAGAGTGCTTTTGCAAGGAAGAGTGGGCAAAGATTTCTCAAGATAAGATGTGTCATGTGATAGGCTTCTATTCCAACAGACTGTTGTCATAAAATCAAATGGTGCTTCATTTAAGGGTGTGCACACTTACACAACTAAGTTATTAGGGTTTTTTTTATTTTCCTCCAAAAGATTTGTTTGTTTTTCAATTGAATTGTACAGCTTATATATTAAAGATGAAAAAAAATTCTGAAGTAATTTTTGTTGCTACAGATTTTTTTTACATCTCAAAAACCTGGCATTTTAACGGGTTGTATAGACTTTTTCCCCACTATAATACAAACATCAATTTATAAAATTTATTTATAAAACAAAGTTTGCCTCAGGATTACCTTTTAATGAGTCAGTTAATTGCAGTATCTAACTTGAAGCAAATGCATTGGGGGAGGTGGAGGATTTCACATTTGAATTACAGGTAATGTTCAGGTGACAACAGTAATTAAAACTGGAATTGCCATCACCAAGCAATGTGGTTATAAAGTGCAACATCACATGACCACATCACTTAGCAACCTCATTAGTTCAGTTGCCATTGTAACTCCAGGACTATGCAGGCCATTAAACAAGGACCTCACATGGACATGACATGGGCAAGCTGGTGGGCATGACCTACAGGTGGGTGGATGGATGCCAAGGACAACAGATGCCACAAATGGATGCTGGCAGGTCAAAAAGCAGTGGGAGCAACTTGGGATCTCCTACCAGCTTTCTCATTGATTTTTACTTGTGGAAAGCTGGCAGGGACACTCAACAAATGGTGTGCAGCAGCCATCATAACTGTAAATCAGTTGCCAAAGGCCCAAATTGCAATCAGATTGCAACCCATGAAAACGTTGGTCGTTGAATGAAGGTCATAACCCAAGGATTACCTAGCAGTAATGATGTTACCTAGTTTGGGTAATGAAACATCTGCAAGAAAATAACCACTCAGAGAGCACCAAGGACCACTTATTTCTACCCTGAGCTAAAAATATTCTAGTTTATTGATACCAATCGTTACCTTTATAAGCTCATCTTAACATATGCAAGTAGATCTATAACAAGTACCGTATGTTTATGCCAATGAAAATTAACATTTTTGACAGATTAACAACTATAATTAAAGACTAATTATAGCGTTTAAACAAAACACACATTACAGGACACCGTTTCCAATGAGTGCAGTATTTTATTAATAGTGACTTATAACCGAGTTATAAGACTCTTGAGAGCCCACTTATTTTATAATCAAGAACTTAATCAAAATAAATCCAGTATTTGCAAATAAACAAAATACTATAGTAATCTGTAAATCATCCCTTTGTTATAAAAAATAATTGTATTGCACTTATTCTATTCTAGTTATCTTCAGCAGGGCTAAAGTGCTATAATCAGTGTTGACAGCAGATTGGCACCATGTCCTAAATGATATTGCAGTTCTTTACACCAAAATAAGATATGAAGCAGCAAAACATTTAGGGTTCATTTTTTTCCCATATACTCAAGTATAATTTAAGCAACATAGCTGGCTATTCTAATATATTAGAATTCCGGAATGTGTAAGGCCTGTTTTACATAAATGCAGGGAATCCCCTGCATTTAGTTAATACTTAAGTCATTCCTACAATTCAAAAAAGAAAAGTGTTCAAATAAAAAAGATGTAGAATATGTAACTCACTTTTATGCACATTTACTTGAAACCATATCCCACTGTACTAGATAGGCCCTCAAAGCAAAGCACTTAAAGGAGTTTAATAATTCCCTTAGGATATTTTCTTTCTGAAGGAAGCTTCTGTAGAAAAAAAGTATAAAATCTGACTTTCTAAATTTGATTTATAAACTGAGAATAATGTTGGAAGAGATATGAACAGAAACAGGACAAACTATCTCTCAAGCTACAGTCTATGCAATATTCTCAATTTTTAGAGCAAGACAATTTGTATCTAAGGTGGTACTGTTATGATTCAAAAAGGAAACTATATCTGAGTATAGCTGAGTAACAGGTTGATTTCATATATTTTCAGGGGCTTATTTCCACCCTGCAACACTGGAATAGTCTAGTTGATAGATGTAAAACCAGCCTATTAAGTCTGCAGATAATCTTCCTGATGGAGAAGAATCAGATCTGATTTAAATCCCCTGATTTTTGTAAAAGTTTTGAGTGGACTTGCCTAAATAGTTTTGCAACTGTCAAAAACTAAAATTGCTATTCACAATTTCTGCTGTTGAGCTTCCTTGAGCTTAAATAAGCGATTTTCCATTTTGGAATCTTCAAGATTTTGAACTAAAAAAGAAGAAAAAATAATTAAACTGGAATAATTAAGTTGTTATCTCTTTTTTTACTCATATCACTCTTATCTGGGGATCATCATTCACTTTCCACATTGTGGAAAACTTTCATTTGTAAATCCTTTCTTCCAGACGAGATTTGCAAGTTCATTAATTAAAAGTGAAACAAATTATAATGCAAACTTTGTATGTCAGAACATGGAAATTACAAAAAATTACCATGGAAACTATTTTGCTGATTAACAAGAGCAGCCTGTTTATCTGTTTCAGATTCTGCCTCATTTGTATCTAAGTTGTAATCGGTCTCTTTGTTATCCTGGCCCATTCTTTTGATTTCAAGTTCACCTGTGAAAACAAGCCAAACAATAAATTCATGCATGCAACTTCATGCAAATAGAAAAGCTGTCTTCTGATTTTATTGCAAAGAAATTTTTTACTGGACAATAATACATATTAAGAAAATTACTAATAATGTAATTAATCATATATATCATGAAATCATAAATCATGTTTGGATTTCCATATTATGCTTAACTATGGCTTTCCAAATGCTTATAATAGATGGATTTACATCACACTTAAGCCAGAATCACACATACAAACAGTTTGATCAAGCAGAATGAAACCACATGGTCTGGTTTTACTTCAGATCATGTTAACAAATCAAATTACACAATTTACATTCATGCCATGTATAACAACATACAATTCTATAAACATTAAATCAATTATTCCACTTTCTCAAATATTGCAACCCTGATACAAACAAAGAAAGCAATCTTTATACTAACCATTTTTATTAGTTTCCTGGTCATCCTGCTGCAAGTCATCATTTAAGAGATCCTCTCGTTCAATTTCTTCAACTTCGTTTGCTTTTTTGACATTTTGGTGGCCTATAAGTTCTGAGAATTTGCTAGTCTGCTTTTCTACTGAAGCTTCTCCAAGTACATTTCTAATTTGCTCATGGTGACTCAGTTCTGGTTCTGGTTCAGGAGGACGTGCTTTATGATCTCTGCTAGAAATAGAAGGTATTTCTGGATGGCCTTGATTGAGAAGAACCTCCTCTTTCCTGGACTCTTCATTAGAAACATCACTAGTTCCTTACATAAACAGAAGAATCATTTTTAGAGCCGATTTAAATAATTCAAAATTTAATATGAACTTTTTTTCCTATCTTTGAATCACAGAATGGGATGTTCAGAGCAAGAAAATCTAAAATTCTTCCAGTTCTTGAGAGCTTTAAACTTAAAAAAAAAAAGAGCTAATGAGGCAAATTATTCAACTTGCAGCTCCAATTTTGGAGATCATTATAAGTCTCTATAAAAACTTCCAATATAAAAGATATATGTTCCTCAGGGTTGAACTGGGGAGTCCTTGGTGTCCTCTGAGATTGAATGTTTGCTTGCAGACATTTTATTGCCTAACTGGATAACACTATCAATGCTAGGGACTGTGGGGGTTTGCTCATTATTTATATATGGACAGTCCTTGGGTTACAACATAATGGAACCTATCCATTATGGTTAGAATTTGGGAGGGCCACTAAGTGAATTACTTCATTTAATGACTACTCCATTCCTGCTCCCCCCCCCAATGCATTTGTTAACCAAACACATGGGTCATTAAGTGGAGCATGGGCTGGCTTCGGGTGGGTGAGACCCTGGGGGTTCATCATTGGCTTGGTGGCACTAAAGAAAACCACATTCTTTTTCTCTGTATCGCTAGCCATACCTCTACCAGCGTTAGCCTTGGAGACCTAAGGATAGCTTTAATAAGGAAAAGATAACTGAGAGTTCGTCAGCATTATTTTTTGCTGAGAAAAAAAGGCCACTGTGGGATTGTGCCACGTAGCCTAGCAACAGAGCAGTCTATCCTCCTTCCCTGCCCGACCTCTGGACATCTTTGAAAGGTGAGCAATTGGTGACAGGATGGGAAGAAGTATGTGGATTTGGTGGAGTGGCAAAACAGGTCCGGTGCCTGGAGGGACCAACCTGGAGGAGCAGAAAGGGGGGGGGGATAGGCAAAGGGGCACACTGCAATGTCTCTGCAGTTGATCATAACAGTGAACAACC